TACCACCTCCCTTACCTTACCTCCCTCACATTTCTCCCCCAAATAAATACACAACCCTCACACAACAAAGGGGCTCAGGGCCACAGTGAAAGGCTTTCATGCTTGTGGACCAAATGCAAGGAAGAGCAGCGGCCCATACCCCAGAGGGGTTTTTCTCCCTCTACTGGATCAATCCCATGAGCCTGTGAAACATTTTCTGGCACTGTACCTTCATCTGGAAAACACTCTCATCCCTGCCCCTCTTCCCCCGAAAAACCTCCTTTAATCTCCTCTACTTATTGCTCCATTTCCCTTCACAGCAGGGCTGACTGTAGTAGGACTTCACGTCCCACCTGTGTCCACACTTCAACTTGCTCCAGTCTCCATGCTCCTGCCAGTTATTTCCATATTGCCAAGTCTGATGGAGGCATCTCCATTTTGAAACACGTCTTTCCTTGGGCTCCTGCAACACCTTATTTTCACCTTTTTATTGATGCTTTTATCAGTTACAGTGGCTTCTCCTCAGTCTTTATTTTGTTATCTCTTTTTCACTAGATGGAACTGATGGTTAGAGTGCTCAGGACTGGCCTAGGACCTCCTCTCCATCTACACACTCTCCCCCTAACAACTCCATCCAGTACCATGGCTTTATAAATAGTCTATATGCTATACTGCTACATTAATATGTTCACAGTGAGACCTTCCCTGAGCTGCAGACTCTCATGTCAATCAAAATCTCCATAAAGATGATCAACTGGCATCTCAAACACAGTCTATACCAAATTAATGATTTCTCTGGCCAATGCAAAATTCAGTTTCTCCTAGATTTGTCCCCATCTCAGTATACAGCTTTGCCATAAAACCAGATGCTTAAGCCCCAAACCAATTAGTCATTCCTGACCTCCCCATTTCCTTCTTCACCCCACTGTCAACATTCCAATGGATCCAGGCCCTGGTGTATCTTCAAAATGTATTCCAATCTGCCCCTTCTCTCTGTATCTTACCAGTATTCAAAGTGGTCCAAACCACTATCTTTTCTTTCCTGGACTATGCAACAGCTTCTTAAAGGGTCTTGTTACTTCTTTGATTTCTCACAATCCAGTCTTCACAGAGGAGCTGGCACAAGCTTTTCAAAATGACAAATCAGATCATATCACTACTTGAAAAATCCTCAAATGAATTACCATTGTATTCAGCATAAAATATAAACGTGTACCACAGCTTACTAAGACCTGCTTCTTTGTACCACTCCCTTCCCTAACCACATTCTAGCCACATGAGCTACCTTTCTCTTTTTCTAACAGCAACAGTTAGAGAACGAATGGGAAGGGCTGAGACTGGAGGCCAGCTTGCTTCTGCTTTAAGGCTTCTGCAATTATGTGCCTTCTGTCTCTGTGTTCTCATGGCTGGCTGCTTCTTACCATTCAGATCACAATTCGAATGCCACCTGCTTAGGGAAGCCTGGCTAATTATGACATCTAAAATAAATTATACTCTCTAATATCACTCTGTTATTTCTATCATAGTATTTACCAAAATCTTATTTATGTTCATTATCTGCTTTTCCTAACTAGAATACAAGATCTAAAAAATCATCTATCTTGTTCCATGCATTATCCTAAGAGCCAGGATAGAGTAAACATTCACTAGATATATACTGAATGAACAACTCAATTCTCCTTCTATCAATAAATTTAAAAAGTTCTTACAGCAGGAAGACTACCAGAAAGAACAGAATAGAATGAACCTCTAGGTCACCAAAGCCAGCTAATATCACAAGAGTGTTTTGTCAATTTGCTTCTTTTCCATAAAAATTATGTTTTCTGTAAAATCTGTAAAATGTAAAACTTCAGTAACGTTCACAATCTACAACAAAATACTGGAAGACGATTAGTCAGAGAAATGTTATAACTGCTCTCTCCTTCCCATGTCAAAGACTCTAAGTAGCTCAGCAAGAAAAACCTATTGCAATAAAAATACATACATAAAAGTGCTCACAAACACAAAAAGATAAGGTTATAGGCACCATACCATCCACCAAACTGAGGGCATTTCTTACTATCTGCTAATTGGGGATAGAAGTCAGGTGTCAGTACTTTTTTTAAAAAATAGATCTTGTACATGTTAATGTGATTTCTAAACAATGCATCCACTTGAACACAAAATAAGAATGCCCTGCATATTAGGATGCTTGAGCTGAACCACTCCATGTACAAAATATACAGTAAGTGCTGTAAGTGCTAACTGAATGCCATCTAAGAATGCAGGTTATGAATGAAAATACAATTTACAAATGGGTCAAAGGAGCTTTTTAAAATAACAGTCCTCAAGGGACTGGCTTCCTATTTCACAAAACCAAAGAACTATTAATAAATGGTACACAGAAAATCATGCCCTTGGCTTACTTGTGGAAAACCAGGTACCGTGTGAACTATTTTTCCAGATGTGTTGCTGATTCATAAAGGTTTTTTAAAAACAGCAAAAGCCTCTAACTGTTGCACATTCTCCCTTATGTACCTGTGAAGATGGGAGTAGTGGCAGGCAACTGCAGGCCTAGCTATTTAGGAGGCCCGTTCAACTGTTTTAGGCCAACTAAAACTGGGCATAAATACATGCATACCCCTTACTTGTTGGTTCTGGAGAAATGTTTCAGTGTTGATACTGCCTTATAACATTAATTCCAACTTTTTATTAGAACATGGAGTCTGAGCCAGCTGTAACTGTGTTAGGGCTTTGGAACTTAACTGAAACATCATGAAATAAAACACAAATGTCTAGCTGTTGCATGTTCAAAGACTTACCAGACACAATTACCCATCACTCATTATGAATAATAATTTCAACACTAGCATAATATAAAACAAATCCTTTAATTTTTCAAGTGTTTAAAAAAAAACAATTTTATACTTAAGCCAGCCTTGAAGATAAGCACAAAATTTACCAGTTTACATTTTTTTTTTTAAAATGTCAACTCAAGCACCCACTCTGTGCATAGCACTATTCTAGGTGCAATAAAAAGAAATCTTAACCTTAGAAATATGAGTTCTCTTTCTGGAATTGTATTATCTCCTTTCCCAGAGAGTAAAAATAAATAAAATCACCATTGCTTACTACAGATCTGCCCCAAATCACTTCTGGTTCACAGAAAGGCTAATTTCTGCCAAATGTAAAATGTAATGAACTCACTTCCTGCTTTCCCAAAAATAAGAAAGCAGAATTCCTTTTCACTTAAAAAAAAAAAAAAAAAAAGTTTTCCATGCAAGGGCAGTTTGCGTCCAATAAGTATTTAAAGAAATTTTTTTCCTCTAGTTTTCTTTAAGTTTTCTTCCTCTAACATTGCCCTTTTCTTGTACAAGGTAAACCAAGTATCTTTTTATGCTGTTTTTCCTTTCCTAAGTATTGCATCTTGAAGACAAACCATTTCTAAGAGTAGTGATTAAAAAAAACGTTAAAAAAACTTTAAAGGTGAGTCACTTACATCACCTTAATGAAGTAAAAAAATAAAAAGCAGTTGGTACTAATATAGCTAATTCCAAATATCTGTGTCTAAACAATTTTAAAAACTGTTTATTTTGTAAGAATGTACCCCTAGTCCAAAGTAACTTATGTTTTAAAAAATTTTGGCCAAAAAATTTACAAAAACCTTTCAGTTCAACCTAATAAAAGTGATATCTAGAAAATATGCCACATTATTAAGTCTGTCTTAAAAAGTTCAGATTCTAAAGCATTCCTAAGGCACGGTGATCTGGAAGACAAATGTGCTTCTGTTGGCATTGTATTAGATACGCAGCATCTGTGACAGGCTTCAAGTGAGCCCTGATAGGCACCTTCCTCCTGATGCTGTGGGATTGAGAGAGAAGAGTCAGACATAGGCTCCCAGGGCCGCATGAAACTCTGTGAGACACTGTACCAGCTGCTGAAACTTGGGCCTCTCCTCTGGATCTAGGGCCCAGCAACAGGCCATCACAGCAAACCTGCAGAGTGACAAAAATGAAAATCTGGGCTAGTAATGATACAGTATTCCTAAACTTTTGGTCAGTTTGATGCCAGTTATGTTGTCTGTCTAAAGGTGGGTATGGAGAGGATGATACATTAAAAACGGATCCCTTTTACTATTTGTTAGCAGCTCTAGAAAGAAGCTAAAATAAGTTATTTGGATTACATGTATGAATTTCAATTCTTTATGACAGCATATCAAAATATTTCAGCAAATATACAGAGATTTCATGTAAATACCTAAAACACAGTCAAAAGAACACCTGTGTTTTCCTGTAGTTAAATTAAGAAAAAGATCTGGGAGGAAGAGAAAGTTTTATCTAAGATCTATAAACCCTGGATCTACAGTAAAATCAGTACAAAAGCTGCCACCTTGTCATGGTGCAGAAACCTTCAGGGGGTT